TCCATTGTTCACCTGGCTAGAAACCATCAAAGTAACCATAGTTCACCTGGCTAGAAATTATCAAAGTAACCATTGTTCACCTGGCTAGAAACCATCAAAGTAACCATTGTTCACCTGGCTAGAAACCATCAAAGTAACCATAGTTCACCTGGCTAGAAATTATCAAAGTAACCATTGTTCACCTGGCTAGAAACAAACAAAGTAACCATTGTTCACCTGGCTAGAAACCATCAAAGTAACCATAGTTCACCTGGCTAGAAACCATCAAAGTAACCATAGTTCACCTGGCTAGAAATTATCAAAGTAACCATTGTTCACCTGGCTAGAAACCATCAAAGTAACCATAGTTCACCTGGCTAGAAACCATCAAAGTAACCATTGTTCACCTGGCTAGAAACCATCAAAGTAACCATTGTTCACCTGGCTAGAAACCATCAAAGTAACCATTGTTCACCTGGCTAGAAACCATACTCATTTTTTATGTTGTCTGTCAAGGGACTTTATTCCAAAATATTTCACATAATATTTTGCCAAATTGTATGTAACATGTCTAAATATCTAAAAAACCACTGTGATAACCATGACTGGTATCAGCTCTGGACAGTGTAAGCTGTTGGATACTATTATTGAAAGTCCCCACAGGTTCCAGGTTAGAATTGGTTCCCATCAATTATGCTTCATATTTCCTGTAGCTGGAATATTGCTGCCTGCTACCTAGCACAACAGACAACAATTATTGACAAACTTTATGGCCCCTGAGACCACGTACAAATGTGATCTATGTCCTGCCCTGGCTCATGAATCACCTAAAGGAACAGCAGTGGCACTGATGCAATGGAAGTCTTTACAGACGTCACATCGATAGTGACAGTTCTCATTAAGCCACTGATGAACAATGGAGAATGGTGTATCCTGCCATGCTCATTCTGACCCAGTGTCTGATTCTGGCAGGTGTGTGTGCCTGTACATACCATGTCCAGCCCAACGCATGGCTACTCACAGATCTCCATAGGCAATTAGGCCAAGCCTGCAAGCATCACTGACAGGAGGGAGGAGCTGACAGCTTCAACCTGTGATCAGTTGAAGGGTGGAGGTGGCCAAGTGCTTGTTGTTTAAAGACACACTCAACAATGTTCCAGCTATGTGAAGACCATTTGTGAAAAAACAAATCTAGACATGTCATTACCAAGAATGACATCATGAGCATTGATCTAATCAATTAGGATGTGATGACATGCATCAACCATCAGCGAGCCTGACCACCCGATCCCTTTAGTCGCCTCTTATGACAAGCAAGGGTTGCTGAAGACGTATACTAATCTGGGGTGGGAGACCGTGTGTACTGAGCAGATGAATAAGTCATTGAGTGAGTGGATGAGTTGACTAAATGAGTGAGTGAGAAGATGGTTGAATATATGTGAGAGTGAGAAGATGTGTGAGTATTGCATGAGTGAGATGGTTGAATATATGTGAGAATGAGAAGATGGTTGAATATATGTGAGAGTGAGAAGATGGTTGAATACGAGTATATGTGAGAGTGAGAAGATGGTTGAATTCTAGTACATGTGAGGTGAGGTGAAATGGGGTTTAACGTCTCGTCCAAAATTATTGCACTTATAAAGCAACGTGCATGTACGTGTGTGTGTTTGTGTGGCTGCTTGTACTAGTCCGGACTAATGCCGATTTAAAGTGCTAGCTCACTGAGATACCATGCCGCAGTTTAACATGAATACCCCACTCAGACACAGTATACTGACTCCGAGCCGACCAGTCCTTGTTTTAGCCCCTTAATGCCGAGCGCCAGACAGGGTAACAACAAGTACCATCTTTTAACGTCTTTTGGTATGATGCGGTCGGGGATCGAACCCCGGACCTTCCGCTCTCCGGGCGGACGCTCTACCACAAGACTACAGAGGCGGTCTAGTACATGTGAGAGTGAGAAGATAGTTGAATATATGTGAGAGTGAGAAGATGGTTGAATATATGTGAGTGAGAAGATGGTTGAATATATGTGAGTGAGAAGATAGTTGAATATATATGAGTGAGAAGATGGTTGAATATATGTGAGTGAGAAGATAGTTGAATATGTGTGAGAGTGAGAAGATGGTTGAATATGTGTTAGTGAGAAGATGGTTGAATGTGTGAGTGAGAAGATGGTTGAATATATGTGAGAGTGAGAAGATGGTTGAATATGTGAGTGAGAAGATGGTTGAATATGTGTGAGAGTGAGAAGATAGTTGAATATATGTGAGTGAGAAGATAGTTGAATATATGTGAGAGTGAGGAATATATGTGAGAGTGAGAAGATGGTTGAATATATGTGAGAGTGAGAAGATGGTTGAATATGTGTGAGTGAGAAGATGGTTGAATATGTGTGAGAGTGAGAAGATAGTTGAATATATGTGAGTGAGAAGATAGTTGAATATATGTGAGAGTGAGGAATATATGTGAGAGTGAGAAGATGGTTGAATATATGTGAGAGTGAGAAGATGGTTGAATATGTGTGAGTGAGAAGATGGTTGAATATGTGTGAGAGTGAGAAGATAGTTGAATATATGTGAGTGAGAAGATAGTTGAATATATGTGAGAGTGAGGAATATATGTGAGAGTGAGAAGATGGTTGAATATATGTGTGAGTGAGAAGATGGTTGAATATATGTGAGAGTGAGAAGATGGTTGAATATGTGTGAGTGAGAAGATGGTTGAATATGTGTGAGTGAGAAGATGGTTGAATATATGTGAGTGAGAAGATAGTTGAATATATGTGAGTGAGAAGATGGTTGAATATATGTGAGAGTGAGAAGATGGTTGAATATGTGTGAGTGAGAAGATGGTAGAATATATATGAGTGAGAAGATGGTTGAATATATGTGAGTGAGAAGATGGTTGAATATATATGAGTGAGAAGATGGTTAAATATATGTGAGTGAGAAGATGGTTGAATATATGTGAGTGAGAAGATGGGTGAGCAAATGTGTGATGATGAGAATAGTTGAGTAAATGCATGAGTGAGATGTGAGGGTGTGTGAGTGAGAAGATGGTGGAATAAATATGTGAGTGAGAAGATGGTTGAATATATGTGAGTGAGAAGATGGTTGAATATATGTGAGTGAGAAGATGGGTGAGCAAATGTGTGATGAGGAGAATAGTTGAGTAAATGCATGAGTGAGATGTGTGGGTGTGTGAGTGAGAAGATGGTGGAATAAATATGTGAGTGAGAAGATGGGTGAGTGGGTGCATGGATGTGTGTGGTACTGGCAGACATTACTGAAGACTGGAGATCATGTGTGGTCTGTGAATGGAATGATACTGTCAGTGGTTAACTTAGTGACTAAGTGATCAGGGTCATATCATTTCAAGTGCATTAGAAATGTAGCCGAGATACCGACCTGGCACTACCAAGAAAATAACCTAAAACAGGTTTGACACTGCCCCAACATACTGTCTACTAATCAATATGAATTCATTTGGGCAAGACACAATGACTGATGGGTTGATGATAATAGCCAAGAGTTCAAACAAGTGCTAATGGTGTCTGATCAGATGATATAGGACAATAAACAGTATATGTCCAAACTTGATACCTCCCTACAGACATCTGCAAAAGAACATAGGGACCCTGGACATAGCAACAGAAACAGCAGGTGCTTGTCCTACTTACTGCAACTTCAGAATTACCAAAATTCAACTTTTGATACGACCCCTTTGGCAGTTTACAAACCGACATTGCCTGATATAATTCACTATCCTGGATATAAGAAAGAGACAGCAGGTGAATGTCCAACCCTTCAGGCAGTCTACATCCGCATCATCAATATATTATCATGATTATATCTCCATCCTATTATGATAGATATGTCACACCCTGTACTAATTCGCTGCTATAGTCTTCTTTTGATTGAATGATGCAATACTAAAATTACCCATCCAACTAAATGACACACACGAGCGATAGAAAATCAGTGTTAAGTTAGTGATACAAGACACTGAGATGGGGACATTACTTCCGAAACAAAGCTACGGTTGTGAATGGGTCCAGTCTGTAGAACACTGATATCAAAGTGGTTCTTTGAACAGTATTCCAGTTATATCACAGCGTGTGGGAGGAAAGCTGGAAGTGTTGCAGGTCTAAGGCGGTATGGCGCTAACAAACCTAAAAACATAATCTGGGCGAACCGGGATTCGAACGCACTATCATAGGTTTCTGGTGTGGCCAAGGGACGCAACTTAGCATAGCGAATTGCTGCGCTTTAAACGGCTGGGTTACGGTTACATGTAAACAGGGTGGTGACACCACACTGTTCTCTCCACCCAGGTTAAACAGTGTGACCTTTTCCCATCTGTTTGCAGTGATGTCAGGCTGTTCTATCCACCCAGGTTAAACATTGTCACCTTTCCCCATCCCCTAGCAGTGATGTCAGGCTGTTCTATCCACCCAGGTTAAACAGTGTGACCTTTCCCCATCCCCTGGCAGTGATGTCAGGCTGTTCTATCCACCCAGGTTAAACAGTGTGACCTTTCCCCATCCCCTGGCAGTGATGTCAGGCTGTTCTATCCACCCAGGCTAAACAGTGTGACCTTTCCCCATCCCCTGGCAGTGATGTCAGGCTGTTCTATCCACCCAGGCTAAACAGTGTCACCTTTCCCCATCCCCTGGCAGTGATGTCAGGCTGTTCTATCCACCCAGGTTAAACAGTGTGACCTTTCCCCATCCCCTGGCAGTGATGTCAGGCTGTTCTATCCACCCAGGCTAAACAGTGTCACCTTTCCTCATCCCCTGGCAGTGATGTCAGGCTGTTCTATCCACCCAGGTTAAACAGTGTGACCTTTCCCCATCCATTTGCAGTGATGTCAGGCTGTTCTATCCATCCAGGTTAAACAGTGTGACCTTTCCCCATCCCCTGGCAGTGATGTCAGGCTGTTCTATCCACCCAGGTAAAGCAGGGTGGTCTCCTGCCCTCCGTCCCTGTCATAACTTCACAGGGACAATAGACACTCACCATACTATTCCTTGAGCACCTGAACCGATGGGTCTGAGATTCTGATAGCGTTTGAGTATGGTGAAGGTTGAGTCCCCCACCTCCACCGTGTAGAACTGGTTGGGGTGCTTGTTCATCACGACGATGCTGTGGGAACACTGTGGAGCTACACAGCCATGTGATACACTGAATACCAGGGGTTGCTTTACTCCATTGAGATGAATCGTAGGCACACCTGCAAAATAACAGATCTCGGATTAAACACACAAACACCCAAAATTGGATTACTGACATCATTAGGCATATGGTTGTCATCAAAAACTTATTTCAAACACCAGGGGTCGTGCAGAGAGATATGAGGGTAAAAGACTCTTAACTGAAAGCCATTTCTGAATATTCGCTCAACGTCATATTTTTAATATGCATTCCTACATGATGGCATGTGTTTTTTATTGGTCGGACTCAACATTCTGAAGCTCACTTTAAATTATTTTTCTCTTATTTCACCTATATCTTAGCACATAAGGAAATTGGTCTGGCCCAAATAATCATTACCTAAGTACTTAATCTATCACGAATCTTAATCGCATTCTTTAATAACAATATCAAAACAAACAGCCTAGTCAGACCTATGACTACCAATTGGTCCTGTATACCCCAAAGGTATTGAAGTTGTTACCTTCTAGATTCAATGATGTTAATTACACACCTTATCGCATCAATCATTCATAAATACATCCTGATTAAACCCCCATGTGTCTCAGCCAATACAATTACCACAGAGATCCATCTACCTTCATGCAGGAACAACAATGCCTACTACCAATGTCCATACTAACCAGGGGATGATAGTGAATACCTCCTAATTATCGGATATCTTGTTAGGTAGAAGTGATTTGGAGATATTGTACCAGTGTCCAGTTCATGTCATCTCTTTATAACATGAATGCCTCTGGCTGCTGAAACTGTCCACAAGTTGGCAACACCGTCACAAAAAGGATATTCTATTTATTACTGAACCATTTATTTCGCCCCAATAGACACAAAGAAAAGGATGTAAAAGAAAGAATATTTGGGTAAGTGAACACATCCAAGGTGTCAATGAGGTATCGCACATGCATCACCAGCCCACTATTTCAAGAGGAGAACCTGCTCTTATTACATATAGGACTGACTTATTCAATGAGGGATCATTTGGAAGATACAAAAATGAGGAAGAGTGAGAGAGTTGGTCTTAACATGGCTTTGAACAGCTTATGGGGAGGAAAGCCACATGCAGCTCACATGCTTAACACCTCAGTGAAACCCACAACCTCGAATATAGAGGCCAACAACACAAGGATCATAATCTGGGATTCAGGCTCATGATCATCTGATCCTGGCATGGATAAGGGACACAACTCTGCACAAAATGGCCATCCGTGCCCCTACCATGAGGATGATGCAATGGAAACAAAAGAGCAGCTAGCAATTAAATAGTTATGTTTTGTTCTCTCAAGAAGAAAATATGCAAATAAACACAGAGAGTATTCCTTCAAAGAGTGATTTCTTATCCCATCCTTTTAGGGTGTAACCGTCATAATTTAGCAGGTGTTACGACATACCTGAGTCCTTATGGTTCAATACCAGTCCTAAGGGCAGGAGAAAAACATGATTTTGCTTCACTATTTTCAAACCTGAAGTTCCCCGTGTAAGATCTGGGTTAAAATAGGTCTTGTAAAAGGTGACTAACAGGATCAGCAGGTCAGGTTCGCTGACTTGGTTGATGCATGTCATTGTATCCCAATTGCATTTATCGATTCTCATGATGTCAATCACTGGATTGTCTGGTATAGGCTTGATTTTTACATACTGCTATCATGTAGCTGGAATATTGCTGAGTGCAGGGATAAACATCAAACAAACAAACTAGGTAAATCTGGGATTCAAGCTATACAAGACTGAAGAGAGACAACATTATGCCCAATATTTCATTTATCTCTCTATGAGTGAGTGAGTGAGTGAGCTTTACGCCGCTTTTAGCAATATTCAAGCAATATCACGGCGGGGGACACCAGAAATGGGCTTCACACATTGTACCCATGTCGGGAATCGAACCCGGGTCTTCGGCGTGACGAGCTAACGCTTTAACCACTAGGCTACCCGACCGCCCCTATATCTCTCTATGAACTAGCAAATTGAATAATGACGGTCCATTAAAGGGAGCTGATGTCGATGTTGGGGGACAAAGTGGTCCCAAGTTGGCAACTATTGACAGCAGTGATATAAGTACTGTATGAAAGAACTCCAGTTGGCAGCAGTGGGGAAAACCAATTACAAAAATATAACAACCTGGTGTTCTAAGAGATGATCACCCCTCCATGTCCAAGAGTACCAATCTTGACCGTGTGTTTCTTAATTGTTTCGAACAAAACTATTAAAGATTTGAACAAAATAAAACATGGGAGAGAGTGTGTGTGTGCGAAGATTTAGAAGATTTCTGCAATGTTGCAAAAGGTATTACATACTAGTTAAAACAGCAAGTGTTTGTGTAGACATTGAATGAGAAGAAATTACCCTTGTTGCATACAAACTCCAATTCTCTCCAAAATGACGAGAAATTAACTCAGTTTTGTGAGTCTGAACAAAAACAATACTACTCAATGCCTGATAGGAATACAGTGTTAGCACAGATTCTTACCAAAGTCAGGAGACATCCAGTCAGATTTACCCCATACCTGGTCACTCAGAATATCCCTTTCAAATGTTGAGTAGTATATTTGTAAAAAATGACTCAATTAACCTCATTTTATTAAGTTATCCGAAAAATCCTTGTCGGCACACTGAAATTCCAAAATTGTTTAAAGTGTCCTGTGGTACGCTTGAAAAAAGTGACATTTCTATGCCTACCTGTCTTGGTAGGTGATAAATCAATGTGGTTAAGGAAACTGAGAGAGTGAGAGATTGAGTTTGGTTTTACTCTGCTTTTAGCGATATTCCAGCAATATCCCGGCGGGGGACACCAGAAATGGACTTCACACACTGTACCTATGTCCGGAATCGAACCCGGGTCTTCGGCGTGACAAGCGAACGCTTTAACCACGAGACTACCCGACTGCCCCTAAAGGAAACTGAGTGACAGTCTGCAGGGGACAGAGTCAGGATAGCTAATAGTGTCCATTCACTAGATAAACAAACACCATTGCTGTTGATATCCTAAGAAAATGACTCACTGTCATAGGAAATAGTCCTCAATACTGATGTGATATTTCAACAAAAGAAATAAATAATAAAACTCAAGAAAATGAAAGACAGTATTGACATTTTGTGAAACGTTATTTTGTACAAGTGAGCTAAGGCTTAGTACCAATATTCAAAAGAGGATACGAAAGATGATTGATCAGATGAATGATAAACAACTTTATGGCCAATATTACAACTCAGGAATGGGAAAATAAACTTAATTAGACAAGATATTGCTACATTGTTTGGGCAAAATTCTACATACTACATTGTTTGAATCCAAATTCCCAAGGTCCTCAAAGACAGAGCTCTCCATACTATTACTGCGACCAGTCACAGTTCCCCAAACATAAGTATCTGAACTTACACTTTACAGGTGTGTCATAAAACCAGCATAAATTAGACATAACATTTGATATGTTCTCACAAGCTCTTATAAGACAAACCAGTTTAGAAACCGAAAGCGATTGGGTTTAAAAATGGTACATTGTCTACACATTCTGACTTATAAACATGATAAATATTCTCTTTCAACAATCATAGAATTGTATAGCCATAACCTTACATATATTCACTTCCATACATTTTACAGGATGCAGTATTGCAGTATTGAGCAATCATACTTTGGAAAAATAAATTTGCTATAATCATGAGAAAAACACAAGGCTTAGGGTTTTTTGTAGAAACAATTATGGTTCAAGGTTGCAAGGCACATTTTGAACACAGTTAATATTACATAGCAAACGAAAATGCCATCTTAAAATGTTTATATCAATACATGATCTTCGATACGATATGGTTCAATATTCCATATTTGATTAATGAATTCCAATCAATACATGTGATAGTATTCCAATGTATACAAATCCGTTGTCACACTCTGTCAAAACGTTGTCTGTCTTTATTTGCATCGGTGCCATACCGACGTAACTGGCTGGTAATACTTAAGTACATACAATTATTATCCAGAGAACATCAAAATATCAACGAAAACATAATATATTCTTAAAATGTGAGCGACAAAAATAGATTATCTAGATTTTTCGAGGTAAGATTCACGGAAGTAGGCATCGTATGAGCATGTCAAGGCACCCCACGACACAAGGTGCCCGCCGCAAAACGGTACCGGTACTTCAACAGTACCCTTCATAAAATGACGACTTACTAAACAAAGTGACGATGAATCCGCAAGACCCTGAAATAGAGCGATCGGAACTGTTGTTCGTATATTCAGCCCGGAATTTCCTAGATCTGTTCTCTTCCTCTTCGATATAGCTTACTCGGTTGTGACGTCAGCAGACATTGCGGAATTTTCATTATCGTCAAGAACGAGATTTGTTTATTTTGGACGGAAAACGTTATTTCAACAATGAGATCAATTTTTATTAACGAAATATGAAGAATCACATAGAACTGATAAATTAGTAATTTCAATGAAAGAAATTCATCCGGGTTCCCGGATGGTCACAAAATTTATAAACTATGTGTAAAACGTCAGCAATTTTCGTGCAATAGCCCTCGGTGTTCCAGTCACATTTTGACTGTAAACGAGAGTTCACAACTCGACGAAAGAGGTGGATGAGCTTACGGAAGCAATGTAGTGAAAACAAATCGTAAACATTGAGAACAGGGTGTTGATGCGTACCCATTCTGGGCTACAATGAAGGTTTACTACCCGTCTCAAATCTTCAGGACTTGTGTATCTATTTACATGCATCAAAACAGTGCTTTACCTCGGGATAAACGCACCTGTTGAAAAACTTTAGAAGCGGCATCCATCCGGCATCAAGTGACAGGTAATAACATTCTTGTTAACACTTTGAAAGATTTGTTTTACATGTTTGACATGCTGATCGGTTGATATTGATTTTGTCTATTCATTATCCTTTAAGATATGATTGCATTTTTTTCTATTTTTGGAAAGATAACTAACTGCCTGTCCCATTTTTCGCTCCAAACACACTAGCTGTACCATGCCGAACACTTTAGCCGTCAAGAGCTTCCGTCCTGTTTCTAACATGTGGGCGGGGCATCAGCTGTTAATAAGTGTAACCAAGTTGTAAGGTTCAATACAGATCATATTATCATTGTTTATACAATAGCATCTTTGTAAACTCTATGTTACATGTCACAATATATGTACAACAAAGTTTTACAAACGCACAAAGTTACATGTCTGCTGTTAAAAACATCAGTTATACCCTTGTCACTGGCAGTTTCTAAACAATGCACTGTCACTCTATTGTCATTTTGAATTGTAATAAATTCCCTGAAAATTTATTTTGTTGTGAAGTGTCACTTCATTTCTGAATGTCAGAACAAACAGAATTTATGACATCTAAAATGATTTCATCAGCTCATAATTATTTAATGCTCTGATATACTGAGATATACTCAGAGTTTGGAAGTATATACTTAAACATTTTATGCTCCAAGTTTAATTTGTTAGCAGCTATTAATATAAAAGTGTAAGTGTGACAAACATAACTGTACAAGTGTTAAGGAAGTAACTTATAAAAATATTTTCCAGATAAGGTGCCATCAATATATTTGTTTGTTTACTGTCTCAACAATTAAGACGCTAATTAGCTCTCAGTGGATTAGTGTGATGACTGAATTGGATGTGAAGTAATTGCTTCAGAGCTTTGCAATGATTAATATTACGAGTAATTGCAATTTGTCATGAAATTAGTGATAACAGCGATACAATTAGTTTTGGGGTTAATATAGTTCAAGTGCAATAACATTTTTATTCAACTCCTTTGATAGATAATGTATAATTAACAACAATGATAGCTTTTGTGTATCACTTATAAATGCCTTTCAAAGACTAGAAAGATAGCTTAAGTTTGCAAGGGTTAATATTGTCTTTTGAGATATGAATAAGTGATAAGAGGTTGTAAAGTTAGAAGAGTTCTCTGTAAAGTTTCCTGTTGAAAAACAGGATGTTTAGACTAAGAAATTAAATCAATAATTTCTCAGACAATACTTTTAAGTTAAATGTTATATCTAACATTAAATGAATTATGAACCTAAGTTTGTATATGATTTTTTATGATCTTTGTGTTTCATAGTATTGTGTATCAATTTAAAAAAAGTTCAAATATGTTTTTAGAACATGATTTAAGCTTTATGTAATACATCAGACATTTTTTCTTCTTGATTTTGTGTCATCAGGATATTACAGCTACAATGGCCTGTCACTAAAACCTTGATAAAGATCAGTTAACAATGTCATCAGTGAACCTGAAGATTTAAATAATTCTTTTCTCCATTATTTTGACAGCATTACCACATATGTGTCATATCACAAAAATCTTGATATGCATATAATATATTAGCATATACATATGTTGTGGGCATGCTTTTTGCCATAAATAAATATTTGTTGTGAACAAAATATAAATCGTTCGGCAACTCCTTTCACAGTAAGTAAATGCATGTTTAAGTAGTGACAAAATTTTCTTTTTCCCAATTTGCTTAACAAGAACACATAATCAGGGACCCATATTAAACCTAAATTGATTTGTTAGGCCGTCTATATAAGCTTTTCTTTCCTTAGTTAAATGTACATGTTCAATCACCCAATTTCTTATTCAAAATCTTGAATAATTTCCTTAACCAGTTCATTATGTCATCCCTGAATTTGTTAAAATTATGAATATTTCATTGACATATCATGTTGTCATTCACTGTAACTGTCATCCCATGTGTCTTTGCGTCAATGAAGTGCACACTGATAGTACCTGTGAAGATCCAGGACCAATGCTTGCCATAACAGGCAAGTAAGCTTGTCATAAGAGGTGACTAAACGGGATCGGGTGGTCAGGCTCACTGACTTGGTTGATGCATGTCATCGTATCCCAACTGCATAGATCAATGCTCATGATGTCAATTACTGGATTGTCTGGCCCCGACTTGATTATTTTCAGACAGCCGTCATGTAGCTGCAATATTGCTGAGTGTAGCTGTAAACAAAGGAGAAAGAAAACAACACACTGATAACAGAAAACAGTATAATGAGGGACTGAGTCTTCTTCAAGATCAGTGTTGGGGTGTTCAGGGAGGGTTCCTTGCCTTAGTCATGCCAGGATCTTCTAGTCATGGATTTTAATCCACAAATTCACCTTTGTTATGATCTTTGGGATGCCATTTACATACCCATGCTTGTGTGTTTCATCGAAGTGAGTGAGTTAAAATTCAAAGTCACATCAGCATTATTTCAGCCATATAGTGACGTTCATAAAAGTGGTAAATATATCTGTTTATGATGTGGCATTTTGTGCTTCCTCCTATACATCGCAATGCTATAGCACAAATAACGGAGGTACTGTTTAAGGCATATTTAAACCCCACTCTCCACTGATTTATGAATAATGATCTTTCAGTCAGCCAATGCAGATGCTATGATCAGTTTTAAGCGTCATAAAACAAAAAGTTCTTTTAATAATTCTTAATTTGGGATTTTCAGTCATTCATCAACCCTATACATATTTACAAATAGGAACACGGGATCTAAGTTGGGTTTTTTTATGCCGCGCTCAGCAATATTCCAGCTATATGATGGCGTTCTGTACATTGTTGAGTCTGGACCAGATAACAGTGATTGATATCACCAGCATCGAGCCACGCAATTGGGATTGATGACATGCATCAACCAAGTCAGACGAGCCTGAACACCTGATCCCATTAGTCACCTCTTACATCAAGCATGGGTTGTTGAACACCTATTCTTTCCCAGATCTTTACAGGTCCATGATTTAAATGACATTTGGGTTCAGTAATTTCCTCAGTAGTCTGTGACCCGAAACTGGTAACAAGTTCCTGACACTTAGATGAACTTCAGAGACAAGGCAGTGAGAAATACAGTATTTGTTGACAGGATTTAGTTTTAAGAGTGAAGAATGAAAGGATGATTTTCTTTAAAAATGACAAAAAAGATTTGCAGAAAATACTTTTACTCAGGGAGGGACTTCGTCAACAACATGTGGTGGAAACTTTCCAAGAAATCAGAAGAAGTTAGCAGTTATGGTAAAAAAGTGAAATAATCAATTTGATAGTGTTTCACTCCATTTCAGGGATGCTGTTGAATTTGGTTGCATTCAATAATACAAAGGTATTATTTTGGGTTCATGTTATCAGTTATTTTCCAAAGGGTGGCATTCGAACCCCCTGAACTTTCCTGGACAACCTCATCCTCAGCCTCTGCATCCACTCAGTCAGTAACCATGCATGCAGTGCTTGCTTGTAATAGGCCCTCACTCCCTCTGCATAGCATGACACATAGTTGTTAGAGTTCCCTTATTGGTGGAAGGAGTGTTAAGTACTTCGTCAACTGTTCATTTTTCCTGGCATTGAGTGATGTTAAGTAAAGTAAAATTAGTAGGTCAATGAAATGTTTATTTTCGGAAGGTTTCGGTTCAGTATTTTGTTCAAGTAGCTGACATATATATATGTAATTCTTTCTACACACAGATCTCAGTATGTTTTGTTCCTTTGGACTTGGAAATTTAAGTTAAAGACAATTTTTTTTTTCAAAATATACCTGTCATGTGGACCAAATTCCACCGTTTCAAGGAAAGCGTGTCTTTTTCTGAACATATTGTGCAACCCTTTCTCTACCTGTGTAGTAGTCTAGTAGTGATAGACTTATTATAATAGTTCTCTTCATTTGCAGTGATAGGGGCCATTCGTGTACTCTCTCTCTTGAAGAATATTTGCTTCAAGCTCTCCTTCACTGTAGCTTGATGAGACAAGTGAGCGTGGAGATTTGTTTATTTGTAGATCAGCAAGGCTCATGGATTAACGGTTCAGCAGTTATTCACTTCTTAATATGTTCTTGTTGGATCAAGATAAGCCATAAAACATTGCTGTATACTAGTTAATCTTGTAGGATCACAATAAGTCATAAAACATTCCTGTACTCTAATTATATCTTGTAGGATCACGATAAGTCATAAAACATTCCTGTGCACTAATTAATCTTGTAGGATCAGGATAAGGCATAAACATTGCTGTACAGTAATTAATCTTGTAGGATCACAATAAGGCATAAAACATTGCTGTACAGTAATTAATCTTGTAGGATCACGATAAGGCATAAAACATTGCTGTACAGTAATTAATCTTGTAGGATCACGTTAAGTCATAAAACATTGCTGTACACTTGTTAATCTTGTAGGATCACGATAAGTCATAAAACATTCCTGTGCACTAATTAATCTTGTAGGATCACGATAAGTCATAAAACATTCCTGTGCACTAGTTAATCTTGTAGGATCACAATAAGTCATAAAACATTCCTGTACT